GTAATAGGTGACTTGACATAAGAACAGTTTTGTGTATTATGCTCCTAATTACCTAATTCAGATGCAGTAATCATGCCGTTGCTATTGACAATAACAGTTCTTGCCCGGTGGATTTGAATAATACTTCCCTTGATAATCCCATTAACAATAAGGTCCTCAACACGACAAATCTAACAAAGGTGAAAGAGAGTATTTGGATTGAACTATGATAAATTGCGAATCCACAATCACCGCATCAACACTTCTAGGTATAATTGAATAAAAGAACCAATTTTGAACAAGAATAAAAATTGCAGAACAAACATGTTTCATACTATGGTAGATCACAGTTCTTAAGATCACAGTTCTTATGGCATCAATTATGCATGGAAAAATTAGCATGAGCTTAGCTCAAATAGTAGTTACGTTCACACCTCTCCAATAATTATGAGAATATTTCAAATTACACCTTCCCTAAACCATTTCGAACCCAAACAAATCAGATGATCCCTTCCGATAAAATGGAAAGACAGCTGTAAATTATGCAAAAATCAGTATGATGATAGATAACATTAAAAATATTAGGCAGAAAAAGCATGTCTAGAAGACGGAAACAGTATAATAATCTAGGGTTCAGCGAGGCCACGCTACCTGAGTACCTGGTTAATAAAGAATGTAAAACAGATGGTTCAGCGGCGGAGAGGCTACCCAGGCTTTTATGCCATTTCAATATCAATAATCAGAACCCAATAGTTTAAAAGGCTATATTATTTTAAAGCCAGTTTCTTTGGAAGAAGGAAGGTGTGAGCATTGAGCAGATCAAAGTGAAAATATGACCTCTTGTCAAATGATGAAGAAATGAAAAGGGCAAAAAGTAATTATAGTAATAATTAAAAAGATGAATATTATAATCTAGTCGGATGGCGTTTTTTGTAGGCTCGTTAGAAAGTTGTAATTCTGAGAATTATTTAGTCAGTATTCTAAAGGGGAGAGGGCACATCATTTAATTATTTGTCTAAATAGGCAGCAGAAAGTATCTAGAGAACATATAACCATGACAAATGATAATGAAATCACAAAACATCACCAGCTGAAATCTATCTTACTTGAAGTGAAAAGGACAGTGTGTAATTGAAATGGCAATCATCTGGTGGGGTCATTAAATCCAGTGGACACGTCTCACTATTACACAGTGCTTTTGTTACCCTACAAATATGAACTCAAGTCTAAGGATTTAAATGATCCAATGCTGTAGGATTGAGAAGGAAACCATGCCCCTCTTCAATAATTGTGCCTATCAAATAAAGAACAAAATATTAAGTCTAGCCAAAAGGCATAACGTATAACATACTCACAGGCTTCTACTGGCATCATCATCCAACGGAGCCTGAAGCAGGGAGCCGATGCCAACCTGTTATTGTGAGTATTCATTAATAAATATTATCATTAGATTTTATTATTATTATTATTGTTGTTGTTGTCAGGGGAAGGGGGGTAAGGATGAAAATGGTAATCTTTGTAACAGTTAAGATAATGTGCTATGGTTCATGCAAGCAACAAAAAAAGTAAGGGAAGTAGGTATATTTAAGAACAGAAACTTCAGTAATTGAAATGAAAGTCACCAACCTTGTCTGTATTAATTTATATACAACATAAAACAAAGAGAAACAAACAATGATCAAGAAGGTATATACCAAGACACTTTGTCTAGAGATGCAATACCAAATGAAAATCAAGTGCTTAATGGAAAAGGTTTAAATTATAAGAAATTGTTTGCTGCTAATAACTTCAGACTTAGTCTAGAACAACATAACATCCTAAAATCTTGAATAATGATGTCCATAAAGAAGATATAGAGTGATTGTTCTCTCAAACTTCCAAGGAAAATAAGGAAGCTTGCATGGTCCGGGCTATCAGACAGGCTTGATAAGATGAAGATTGTTTTTATCTTCTGGATGAGCAATCTAGAAGTTGAAACATTGTTATTAGAAAGAAATTTTTCAATGGAGGAATGTAATGAATTTACTGAGTTATTAAAGTTGCTCGATAACAGACACATTAAAGCTGGTATTGATGAGAGAATCTCCAACTTACCCACTTCTACTTCGTTATCAGTATAATCCATCAAATAAAGGCTAGTAGAAGCTTTGCAAAGAATCTTTCCTTGGCAGTTTGGAAACGAAAATTCCAAGAAAGGTCAAAACCTTTGTTTGGACAGCTTGCCTTGTGGCCTTAATACTTCAGAAAGATTACGAAAAAGATGTCCCTAGTTGGCCTTAAATACCTCACGTGTTCTCTTCGTTTGGAAGTGACGGAAGATACTCTTTTAATCCATTGTCCTTTTAGCATGAAGATATGGGTCACCCTTCTACGAATTTTTGGGCTCCCCTGGGTCTTTCACTTTTCTCGATGGAATTTGGCTTAATTGACTTAGCTGCCATCCTTTCAAGGGAAACATAAACTATGGGTTAATGCTACTAAGTCAACATGGTGGAGTATTTAGCTGAAAGGAAATAATTGAAGATTTAATGGGAAGGTAAAATATTGGTAGGAGGTGTTTGAATTAGCAAACTCCATGCATTTTTCTTGGTATCCATTGATAGATGGTTTAATAATTATACTGTGTGTAATTAACACAATTTGAAGTGGGTTTGTGAAGCGTTCATTCAGGTGTGGCTATAGCTTTCTAGTATGACTTTATACTTAGTTATGTGTAATTTTTCACATATCAAGAAAAAGTTTGCTTCATGTTTCATGTTTCTTGACAACATTGCTCTAAAAAGTCACATCTTCGTACTTCTGCAGGAAGATGATGAGCAGTGCTTAAAAAATTTCAAGTTAAGATAATCCCTAAACCATCTTTAAGCAGAAATAAAAATGAAAGAAATTATATAATTGTATATGCAGTACTAGGTCTTTGCAAAAGGAATAACATTTGTCTCCGTCCTAAAATGAAATCAAAATTTATCATCTTGGTCCTCATCCTCGTACCAAATTTCATTCTATGTGTTATGCGTTTAGAACTTCTAACAAACTCATAATAAATTTCAGATTTTGCCTTTTTATGGCTGTGTATCAAGAAGTATGTTTAGAAGTCATGAAGTTATTTGCCAACACTTCTGAGTACCTTTATGAACAATCCTCCCAAGCATATTTTTGAGCACTTGTTAACATTTCGAGCACTTTTTCCAAGTACATTTCCTAGCGCTTGCTATCGTTTAAAGAAATACTTCCAAAATCACCATCCTAATTAACCTTTAAAACGAGGACTCTCAACCCCATTCATGCAGGTCTGTATCTTATAAGGAAAAGTCATAGATGTGTGTATATATTGACTTTCATAATGATAGAAAATAGAGTATAAGCTCTCGGAAGTAGAACATAACAAATTAAAAACTCCATAATCCGATGGTGGCTTACAGTTATGTTGTAAAATAGCGACAAAGATAGTCGCTGGCCTTGGATTGTGTCACCTTGACCAGTAAGCTGCAGTAGCCCCTGACCATACATACCCAAGTTTGAATTCGAGCTAATGCTTGAGTTTTGCTGCAATATTTAAGGTATCACAGCAAGCTTAGGTATGGTGAGATATCTAAAGGATTATGAATGTACTCTTAAAATAAAAATAAATAAATAAATATTAATTTATATTTTAGAAAAAGAATAATCCTTTCATTAATCCACTCCTGATAGCAGAAGGGGTTTAAAAGATAATACCTTTAAAACAACCAGATTCCTGACTTCAAGAACTGAAGCAGTAACAAATGTATTCCTACCACCGTCTACCAGGATTTTGGAGTTCCACATCAGCAGCATCTTAACGAAAACTCTAAGAGCGCCAAAAACCTTCAGTCAAATAATTCTAGTCATTTATGAAACAAAAAGACCAACCTTCATTAGACCCAGGGGCATTCACCAGAATGATTTTCATAAGAAAAAATGGAACGTTATTCGAACAACATTAGAAGACTCTAATGCAACAGATACGAATGAGTGTTACAAGCACGTGTTGGAATCTAAACCAAAAGAGTGAAATTATTAAGGATCACCATGATCAGTTGATCCCTCAATTTGGGTACCACGACTAGCAGTAATAGCAACAATTACATTACAAATATCTAAGAAGGCATAAATAAGAGTCTATGCCATCTTTTTGGTACTTGGTTATTTTAATATTATTTTGTTTAATTAGTTTTTATATAAGAAACGAGAACATGTAATTTGAATTAAGAAACAAACAAAAAAGGGAGGATATCAAATCAGAGTTGAGGGAAGTTACAAGAAGCTCTACAATTTGAAAACATAAAATACATACATACCTACATGCCTACATATATATATTAATAAAAAAAACTAATAAATTTAATTTGAATAATGAAAAACAAAAAAGGGAGGATAACAAATTATGTTTCCTGTGTTACCATTCAGCCTTATGTGTGTGCAAGGTCATTACTCCCGACAGAAAACAAAAAACAGAGAGAACCATTAGGAAACATACAAAAGTTTAGAGTCTAGATATAAAATTAGATCCAAGTTTGAAAAATAAAAGAAAGGGTCAAACCATTATGACGGAATCACTCATCAGAAGTTCTTCAGCAACTAGTTCAAATTCTGATATTGGAAATTCGGACAGTCCAAACACAATGCTGCCTCCACAATATAGACTAATTTGGCCTCTAACCTGGAAACCAGGGAGCCAAAAGGATACAAGTAATTATCACTTGATCGAAGTAATTAAATTGCAGGATAGGTATGCCAATCATGGCCAGACGGAAGTTATAAAGAACAAAAAATTAGTAACAAATTAATAAGATGCATGACAACAGAAATGCACAGATACACACCAAAACATCAAATAAAATAAATTAATGAAAAGGAAACAAAAATTGAACGTCAATAACCAAAGTTAAAGTCAGAAACCCACATAAATAAGAGTCAACAAAATAGGAAGCTCACTTAAAACCTTCAACAGAGTTAAAGAAAGAACTTGATAATTGAGCAGCTCTCCAACCATTTGATACCAAAAAGAAATAATGCAACATTATTTTATCCACCAATATCCACCAATATTTTTTTCTTGTTTTGATAACAAACCAACTTTACATTAAAAAGAATGATACAAAAGCAAGGCCACAAATTAAAAAAAAAATAACATGACAATATAGAAGGCAAAAGTCAAACAACAGGAACAAAAGTGTATCTACAAGTCAGCTGAGGACCATATTGTGGCATTATTTTTTTCTTCTAGCATTTGATTAGATACTTAAAAAAAAATTAAATCAGGCCTAGCTCTCAATCATGACTAGAGGGTATGCTCGATGAGGATACTTAAAATCCTGCTTTTAGAAGGCAAAGGGAAACTTTTTTTTTTTTAACAAGAAACAAATTTTTCGTTGACATATGAAAAGGAACAAAAATTGTTCAAAGATACAAACTCTCTAAAGAGCGCAAAGAAAAAAGAAACAAAGTAAATATAGACTAAATAGAAAAAATAAAAGCGTCCCGATTAGTACAGATGAGATTAGGAGAATAATTTCCAAATAGAACTGAAAGAGAACACCGTTGGGAAGCTTTAAACTTGGCAAAGGGAAATTGATTTGGCAAGGAGGATTCCAATTTAGTTAATGGTGAGTTTGGCATGCATGACTATGAGAGGAATATGAGAACTTATAAGGATGGACGTGTTTTGTGGGAAGAGGCATGGAAATTTGTTCTTCAATATCTCTCTTTGAAATCAAAATTCTCAATCTTTTCTTTTGCGCACTATACCCAACAGATAGCCAATAGTGGGTTACAAAAACCCCAGGTTTGATAAGGAACGGCGAAGACATCTCTCAATTTCCAAAGTCAGGCATAGTTGTGGCAACTTTGGCACGGTACTTTTTTCTATAAGCTCTGGCATAGTTCTCAAATTTAGTTAATTTGGGTTGTGTAAATACTATCTACATTGAATATTTGAGCAGTTTGAAATAATGAGATTTCACAATTTCCAAAGTCATCAGAAACCCTAAGGAAGAGGCATAGATGAACATCCCACCACATATACAGGTTTACAGAGGTCTAACAATGCATCCAAATTCAGAAAATACCTTTCTTTCTTTTTTTTTTTCCTTTTTTGAAAAGTGACTTTACTCAGAAAGACATTATGAAACTTATGATAGTCCACGTACAGGTTTACAGAGGAGGTTAAAATGAAAAGAGCAAAGTCGTCAAACACTTGTAGACCTCTTCTTTGGCTTCTTCAGAAAGAAAGGAATTCTAGATGTTTCTCAGATTGGTACACCACTTCTTTTAACTTTTGTGAACACGTTCAGTATACAACCTCCAACCAATTGGAGTGCTTTACACAAATCCTTTAGTAATATTCCCTCTCTCCTAAGTTTTTTACACCGGAGGCCTTTTATTTGATTCCTCGTTTGTAGGCTTAGGGATCCCTCATCCCTCAGGCCTTTAGGTTGTGCTCCATTTTCAGGGTGCCCTCGCCCCAAAACAGAAACATAATTACTAAAATCATTTGGATATATTAAAAGAACTATCTCCGTGTCCATACTAATAAAGGAGATTATAAACTTTTCTGGTAAACACATGATATCAGACTGCATTCAAAATTTTCTTTTAATAATAAATAAATTCTCCAATATATGCATTTCATCAATTCATCAATGAATATTTAGAAGGGATCAAAGCTTTTCTTTACTCTCCACAGCAATGGAAGCAAAAAACGCAAGCAAGCAAGAAATTATATCACTCAATACCTGGACTCTTGTCCACAACAATGGGACCAAAGCTTTTGCGTTATTTTCCACAAAAACATTTGACCATAGTGGACTGGTTGAAAAGTCTAGCAGAGGGGTTTCAGTTTCTGTTGTGATATTGTCATTTCCAACTCTTAAACTTAGCAAATCAGCATTGAAGTAAGTGCCCGCTGCTCCAGCATTACCAGGACAGCCAATACTTACACCACCTGCAAAAAGGATGGCATAAGATAGAGACACCAATATTGTGATACAGTGCCAGAGGCACTCCAGATATTCAAACAAGGAATTTTTAATATGATGATTAATTCTCAGTGTCTTTATCAAAAAGTATGTTCTCAAAATCATGGGTGAAATCTAATGGTTGTGGATAGGGACCCTCAGCAATGTTCTCCAAAATTTCATAACTTGAGGATAAAATTTTCTCCCTATTTGAGATTTATTCTTGAAAATGGCACAGGGAAAACTGCACGGTGAATTATCCATTTATAGTCTCATTTCCTGCTGACTATATACTTGCTTCTAATCCCAATGCTTCAAGCCTTCAATTATTCCACTAATTCTAAGTCATTTTTTATGGGAGCACTAGCATTTATTCATTTGAGTTCAAGTTCAATGTTACCTTCCAAAGAGATTAAATGACTCAAAAACAGGAAAGTTTGTAACCTTGATGTCCCTCACTCATAATCTTTTTCTTTAATAAACTTTTCATTGATGAATGAAAAGAAACATAAAATGTTCATAGATACAAACTACCAAGGGAATGAAAAAGTAAATATCAAATAAAAAGATACAATCTAAAAAGCCAAAAAGAAAAAAGATTATTGTGAGTAGGTACGAGCCTCAATGCTTTGTGGCACAAGATTATTGTGAGTAGTTACGAGCCTCACTCTTTCAGTGGGTCTTAGCTAGAGGTTTTAAGGCTTCTGCTAAAAGCCTCAGAAAAGCTCTCTCTTCTAGCCTGTTTTTTCACAGTTCATGAGATGCCCTATTGGGCGCTCCAATGTTTACTTTTGGGAGGATTGTTGGGTGGCTAATATTTCTCCACCTTTACCATCTCTCTCTAATATGTAGCTGCCTTCTGTGGCTTTGATTCTTCCAACCCCTACCAGTTATTTGTCCATTTTTGGGGTTTTCCCATCCTTTGACAGATAGGGAGACACTGGAGGTATCTGCTTTACTGGGGGGCTAACGAACGTACACGTTAGCCAAGGGAAGAGAGATTTTCGTGTGTGGGGTCCCCTAGTCTGTTGGGAACGTTCTCTTGTAGCTCTTTTTCCATCTTTTATGTGTCCCCTCGTCCTCCCCTAGCTCCCCTTTGCTCTCATCTCTTTGGAAGGTTAGAGTTCTAGATAATATTAAATTCTTTGTTTGCTAGATCATGCATGAAAAAGTCAATACTTTGGACCGTATTCAGAGTTGTTCTCCCGTTGGTTTGGGGCCACATTGGTGTTCCCTTTGCAGAAATGCATCAAGGGACCTTGACCACATTCTTTGTAGCTATCAGTTTGCCAATCGATTTGGGCCCCCTTTTTTGAATACTTTGGGGTTTCGTTGCCATTTAGCAGTGATTGTCGGAAGATGGTAAATTGTTGGAAGATGGTGGAGGAGGTGTTGTTTTATCATCCCTACTGGAATAAAGGAAATATTCTTTGGCATTCTTGCTTTTCACTCTTTTGTGGAGTATTTGGCGAGAAAGGAATAGTAGAGTTTTTATAGGGGCTAAGAGGTACTGTAAGAGGTTTGGGACATCATTAAATTTAATACCTCTGTTTGGGCTTTGGTTTCTAAGGACTTTTACAATTATCAATTCGATGTTATTTTTTTAGATTGTAGCCCTTTTCAGTAAGTTTTGACTCCTCTTGGCGGGTGATGTTTGTTTACCTGTTTTCTTGTATGCCTTTGGGTATTTTTTTTTTCCGTTTGTTCAATGAAATTCTGATTTCTTATCAAAATAAAAATAAAAAATAAAAGCTCTAAAACCAGTTAAACCAACAAAATCATCCTCTTACTATGGTTCAACACAATAAAAGCTGTCATTTCAGAAATTTGGTTTGGAGTGTAATCAACAAATTTTTTAGGATAAACACCGGATCGATTTGAGTTGGCTAGATTACATGCTTCTCAATGGTGTTCATTAGATAACTTATTTGAAGACTTCAATCTGAAAAAAAATTAATTTAAATTGGGATGCTGTTAGGCCCCCAATAGTTAATATATACAAGAGGAGGGGTAAGAAAGGAGTTGTACTCAGGAGGGGAGAGAATGAGTAACCGTTAGAATAGTGGGGCCAGGGATCATCGTGGGAGTGAGGGCCGAGTGGTTATAAGGGAGAGGTAGGAAGAAGATAGGAGCGGACTGGTTGTGGTAACTAAGGATAGGAAGGTAGCTAGGAGGGAGAGATACCCACCCTCTCGAATTGGTGGGGTGAATCTGTACGCCTACGGGCTCTGATTGCTTGATTATCAATACATATTGTGAGGAGATACCTCACAAATTGGTATTAGAGCAGTTCGTTGCTGGGAAACGTGTGGAAAGATGCCCGTCAAGGAGTTGGAAACTTGAACCGGGCCATCAATAAGTCAGCTCCTTCTACTGCACCTCAAGCACCTTCGGTTCAGGTCTTTGATGATTGTGACCAATATCCTGAAGACTCTCCCGACCCAGGACAGCCTTTTTAATTTAACAGGCCACAGCCCTTCCTTCCCCTAAAGCCAGAACTGAAATGGAAAAATGCAGGTGCGAGACAACGGAGAAGGAAATCGTCGACATTAAGGGTGCAATAGCAACCTTGTGCAAGAAAGTCAAAGAGCAACAGAAGATTAGCGTCAGAATCCAGATGATGTTGGAGGGATTCATGGCGGAGATCATCGGA